GGGCTTATATAGGGCTTCGGGTTTAGGGTGACCAGAGGAAGTTGCCATAGTTTCGTGGCCATGAGAAACAGAAATGGGAGTTTCCGAAATTAGCGGTACCTCATTTTGGGGTCCTTATAATAAGGAGCCTACTATTTAGGCACTTTTTTTAGGGTCTGCTATTTTCGGAAACCCCCAAATCCTACGTGCAGCGCCCAGAAGCGCACCTTGATCCCAGACCCTGTAGTTCAGGGCTTAGGGTTTAAGGGTTTAGGGTTTTTGCGTTTAGGGCTCAGTGTTCAGGAGTTAGAGTTTAGTGTTTATACCGTGTTTAGGGTTTAGGTCTTCAACTCAAAAAATGCTCCGTCGAGGCAGTCTCCTTCAAGCAGTCGCCCTTGGAAAGACTCATTGGATTCGGTGGAGGGCTAATGGCCCCGCCGTTCCAGGTGCGCTGGGTTTGGAGACGCATCAAACATTGCACTGTCGCAAGCATTCATACATACTCATACCAAAACACCAAGTTCCTAGATACGGGAATCTGAACATGCATCCCAAGTTGCAGAATCCTGGTTCTAGTGTTCGGATCCCCCCCAATAGACAGTCGGGTTCCGCAATCCTCTTAGCACAATTACTCTATTCATGGTCCCACCCCTCAACCCTAAACTTAGCTTCTAAATCTAAACCCTAGACCTTAAAGCCGAAACTTATATATAACCCCACACCTTAAACCCTGAAACCCTACACGCGGAACCCCCCGATCCCCATGGCTTTGGAGAATGCAGGCTGAATGTCCTAAAGCTCCTAGCTTTCCAGGTTGATTCAGCACCTTCATCTGCCGGGGCCCGTGTGGAGACCTCCGAACACCGCCTTAGCGCCGAGCGCGAACTTCGGATCTTCACATATCGCACTGTAGCCAGAATCCAGGAACAAGCCCTGAACAAAGCAACATCACGCCATGGCACAAGATGTGTACCCCGAACCCTACACACATATAGAATCACGAGCCTGAGTGGGAAAACCGTGCCCTACACACTAATCATCCTTACACCCCTTGAAAGACCTCAGACCATAGAAAACCTGAGGCCCTCTGAACCTCGAAGCGGGCTTTCGTGCGTCATCGAAGTCACCTCTACCTGATTTGCCCCTGGACTGCTCCTGGCGTAATATGGGACTTTCCGAAAATTAGGGGTGCCATATTTGGGGGTCCTTACAATAAGGCTCCTACTATTTAGGATACTATATTAGGGTCCCCCAATTTTCGGAAACTCCAATATGTACCAGCAAGTTACTACGAGTGTCCATGTACCGGCTGCGATGGTAAGCCAGACGTTGTTTTCTCGACCTCATGATTGGTTAGTTATTGTGGTGTGCACGTGCCATTGTATTTAGGACTTCCTGTGATTGTTTTTGGCAGCCAGCTCATACTAATGTCAAGCCTTAGTGACAGCTATGGCATGCCTAAACCCTAAACCCTAAACCCCAAACCCTGAACCCTAAACCCTTTGATGATCGGACCTTCCCTTCGCTGCCTTGAGGCAACTCAAAGCCAAGGGCCAAATAATTGCAGGCCATGTTCGGTTTAGGGTTTAGGCTTTAGGGCTTTAGGTTTAGGGTTTAGGGTTAGGGCTTTAGGGTTTAGGGTTTAGGGGTTGCGGCTTGGCTTCAAGAACGCTTCACCTAAGCTTGCAGCCCTGGCTGTTGGCTTCTGGCTGGCGAGCTTTCAAAAGCGCTCACGAACGTGCAGACTGCGGAAATGTGCGGCAAAAGCGATGACACTGGTGGGGCCTATGTACGGAGCATCCTGAAATACGAAATCATGGATTACCTATCGACACTCTAGAGTCCTTATCATCTATGTAATTACCCATAGGCCCCAAAGTAGTTCCTTTTTGGGATTACCTTATAGGGTTCTATATACGAACCCCAAAAAGGAACTACTTTGGGGTGTATGGGTAATTACTCCGGAAATTCTCATCTGCGAGCGAGAGACAACAAGCATTACACCTGCCAGTGCCAAGGACGTAATCGTAGTGACAGAGCAGTTAGAAAAGGCTTTCGGCAAGGCTGTATATAGGCATTGTCAATGGGAACACCCAATACCCAAATCTTTTGCTACGGCAGCCGTGTTGTGCCCCCTGCTGCGCATAGAATGTCAGGCCATGGCACACAGACTCGCGAAGTGCAAAATCCCACCATCAAGACTTGTATCGGTTTGGGTTTAGGAGTTTAAGATACAGCCTGGAAGCTACAATGCCCGCAGCACTATGGTAGCCACTAGAGCCTCATCCCACTTTGTGTACGCAAACCATAAAACTGGTAAGAGTCTAGGTTTAATTTGTTAACGCCCTTTTTCTTAGGGTTTAGGGTTGATAAGAGTCCAGAGCGCAGCTTAAACCCTATGCACACGCACAAGAAACAGCGGGATTGGGTAGTCCACATATATATATATATACATATATATGTACACATGAGTATTTGCATCCATATCTATATCTGTACGGAGATGGCGCGCAAGTACTCGATACTGTAGTGACGAGTGAATGGTACGGAAGCGTGCTTCTGAATAAAGACAAGCCCCAATGAAACCTACATGTCCTTAAAGCCTGAGGAACCTTCGGTACCTATAGAACATATACACACGCTGCTAAAGACACGGAAATTCCACGGCAACATCCGGTAGAACGATGGGATTTGCTCCTGCAGCAAGCTCAGCCCCAACACCTTCCAGCTGAACGAGATGTTTGAGGCTAGCGCAACCTCAAAACTACAAACCCTAAGTCCTAACCTCCCTCAAATAGGACACCCACATCCTTCTGAAACCCCCAAAGAGCAGATTCCAAGGCACGGAATCGTCTAAGGGACCCCTTGTGTCGATGGCATCTCACTTTAGGGAAGCCTCAGCCGCAGAATTCCGGCTGCTCGGGCAAAATAGCATCGGCCTTCGGCCCCCTGAGAGTCGAACGCCACTGTGCTGGAGCTGGCTCCAAAGGCCCACCGGAAGGCTGAAAAGAAGGGGTTTAGGGTTTAGGGTTTAGGGTGGAACTTATAACACGGTTTCGGGAAATAATAGAATCTAACATGTTTTGTGGGACGCCCCAGGACTATAGCATCACCAAGCAAGTCTTCAAGCTTCTATGTTAGGAGTTTTTGGACTTCGGGTTTGGGGTACAGGAATGGTGTTTATAGGTTTCGGGGATCAGGGCATGGGCTTTTTGCGGTTATAAGACTGGGATGTAGACGGCTGAAGGTGTGGAGTGTGGGATTTAGGCGTTCGCAGTTAGGGCTCAGCACTCATGGCTTCGGGCTTAGGATTTTGAGTTTGGAACTGCAAGACCAAATGGTGACGATGATGATGCCCGGGCTAAATCTTGCACCTGGCACCTCAAGCCCACGGCACTATCCCAAGCGCGAGCCTGAGAATTTTACATTCATTGCTGCAGAGATTGCGCACGAAGTGTAGAGACCCAACAAGCAAAACGGACACCCTAAACCTAGATCCCCCCGAAACCCTAAACTCTGAGCCCTAAAACCATTCTTGCTTGCGATTGATGTCATGGAGCTCGGCCCCAAAACTTGAACCCTTCGTAAAGACTCTTGCAGTTTATTTGGAGTTGTACGGATTTGCCCCGCCGGCCCAAGTAGCTTTCTAGTCCCGCAGGGGCCTCCACAAAATTAGAGTGGGGATGTGTGGCTGCCAAACGTTATGTTACGGAAAATTAAGACCGGGATGCTTCTGGGAACCATCTATTCCTAGACCCTCCATCTACCCTCTATTAGACCCTAAATGCCCCTGTTTGGGACCCTAAGCCCTAAGCCCTAAACCCCTACTTGAGGGTACAAGGAGGGTCCTGGTTCCGACTCCCAAGTTACGACCTTTCGGCATCTCTTGCCCTGAACCTTCGTGGATAAGAGCCCGTTCAGGGTTTCGGGTTTAGGGGTTAGGGGTTTAGGGTCTAGGGTTTAGCGGTTTAGGGTTTAGGGGTTTACGGTTCAGGGAGTTTAGGGTTTAGGGTTTTGTTACGGCTTGGATTTCAGCCCCCCGAAACCTAGCTGCGCTTCTCGGGACCCATCCGCCAGCATCCTAGCGACTGAACGTCGGCTAATCGAGATGCGGCCGAACACCCGCAAAGCAGTGAACCCTGGCATACATATCTATATACACCCATATACATCCAAGCATGCATACATACATACGCTCATAGATATCCCACATATCATACACACTCACCACCAGCCCTACATACAACCTACCTATCTATCAACCCATCCATCTGTCGATCTACCTATCTATGCATATATACATGCATGCATGTATTTTATGCATGTATGTAATTATGTATATTAATATGTATGTGTGTATATATATAGCAATATACACATATATATATATATATACATGCATATAGACCGAGAGATATAAAGAAGAACGGAGGGACACGGGAAGGTGTGGATATCGAGACAGATATAGCTACATGTCCGAGGGCATCGGGTGAGGCTCTGCCACGGACTCAGATGCTAAGCTTTTTGCCTTAAAACCTAGCTATGCAGCTATGCTATGTTGACTTCGTGGTACGCAAAGCCCAAAGCTTGAAAGGGACCAGACTTCGGACACTCTATCAGTCCAAGCACCCGTGTCGCACATACTTGACCCTTGAGGCACCATTTTTAGGAACCCCTTCAAAGACAAAGCTGTACAGAAATACAGAATGAATTGGCATAGGTAAATGGAACGTCTAAGACCCCACAGTAACACTACATGGAGCCTGACGGCTTGAAGCAAGAAACTGAGCAGCTCTGCTTAGGCTTCTGCTTTCGAGCATCGAAGGATTTATGTTCGGCTTGGCGCAGGTTTAAGCTCCATTATATACACAGACAAGTCTGATCGACTTCAGAGCCTGAGCGGATTGGGAAAAAGAAGAGTTTCTGGATCGAACCGACACGGGATGGATGGAAGCTGAAACGATTCATCCAATCAGGGCTGCGGGTATTCAGCACCGATCTACTGCTTGCGTCAAAGACTCTCAGAACGTTCGGCCTGAGTGTGCAGCTGAGCGCAGGCCAAGCTGACAACGAAGGGCAAGAAAGAACACTGTCCATATGTATGTATGTACCTGTAGACATGTGTGTATATATATATATATATATGTATACATATGTATAAGTGATACTGCTACCACCAGCTCCTCAGTTCGTTTTCAGACCTCCCATGCGCTCCTTCGGTTTGTTCTCTGGATAGAGTCAGATAGGGCAACAACAAACCCCCAAACCGAAAAAGAGTTCCGCTGAAATCTCTTAGTTCAAGGATGGAAAGCCGTACCGAGACCCTAAGTAGTAGGATCGTTGATACTCCCTCCACCGCCTAACCTAACCACCCACCCCCAGGTGTTGCGTTCGGCTCATGTTGCAGACCTTTTCAGCGTTGCAGGGTGGGCCTTTGGTTGGAGACTTGGGTTTAGGATCGTCTGGGCTCCTATGTGTTACAACGCACTGTGCAGAAATCCGAGCAGCTGTATGTCTTTGTTTCATGTCGTATGTATGCACGCATGAACTTAATCAGTAAGTAGGATACGAATATGTGCGCATAAACGAATATGAACCTGATTACATACATGCACAGCAAGCGTGCGAGAAAATGGAGAGGTAAAGAGAGGTAGAGAGAGAGAGAGAGAGAGAGAGAGAGAGACATAGAGAAAGAAGCGAGCAGGAGAGACAGACAGACAGAGAGAGAGAGAGAGAGAGAGAGATACAAAGAAACAGGAAGATACTGGCAAACAAAGCTAGAGAAGCTTCGATTTTTGGGGTCCATAAGAGAGGTGCCGAAACTAATTCTTTGATCTAGTCGTGCATTGGGGGTGTATACACTATATATGATATCACATAACAATACAGCTTTACGGGAATATGAGGGGATGCTGCTATTCAGTAATATTAAGAGATGCGCGACTGCAGAGGCCTGTGCTGAACCAATGAGACACCCAAATTGCTGATCGCCAAAGTCCTTCGCACCAACACGGAGCCCCCCCCCCCCCCCCAAAAAAAAAAAAAAAATAAGGTTAAGGCTTAGGACTACGGGGGTTCAGGAATAACAAGGTGTACCTCGGAACAAAACAAGAACATGCATTCGAACCGGGCGCCGCCGCCTAGCTCAGAGATTGCGTCTTTCACAAAGCTGTGGCCTCAGCTAGGTGGCAAAGGATTCCAAAGTCAAGGGCTCAGAGTTTCGCGTTCGGGGTTCTGTTGTCCAAGCCTTCAATTCAACCCAAAACTGAGAACCCCTAAACCCCCTGAATCAAAACCCCTAAATCCCCTAAACCCTAAACCCTAAACCCCTAAACCCTAAACCCTAAACCCCTAAATCCCTAAACCCATGACCCTTGTGGTCACCCATATCTTCCCAAGACACCCCAGCCTTCCCTGGTAGATTGTGGAGGAGCTACATGGGCCTGAATAAGCAGAAAACTAAAGGGGCTCTATAACTGGGCTTTTAAGTAACCAGGGAGAAAAAAGTATAAACTTTTATTTCATAAGGGTTCCGTTAAGAAAAAAGTATTAAAGTATGGTACTCCAAAGCCCAGATAAAGGTTCCATAATACAGGGGCCTTCCTGAGCAGAATTGGTCTTGGTGGTATACAGTATAAGAACGCTCCTGATCATGCTAAGATCTGCCTTGACGTCGGAGAGTAAGGCTTAAGGTCAACAAACAGGGCTCAGGCTAGACAGGTTCTATGGCTTAGGCTTTAGGGTTCAGATGCCTTAGGAGTTCGAATTCTTGGTGAGATTCAGGGTTCCGAAGGTCTATGCTGCTCTCAGATATCTGAACCCCTAAACTCGCAGAGTAATTTAGGGCCAGTCGAGGGTTCCATGGGCCCTTGCCCCGAGGCCTCTTTCCTCCAAGCTGCTCAGAAGGTCCCATGACATGGGGCGCTCGTCAGCGTTTCTTTTTAAACCTGGGCTCTTGTGAAGGATTATAGGGTTTAGGGTTCTTGTCAAGTGTAAGAGCAAAAACCGGAGGAAGGGTCGGAGCAACAGCACGGGCAGGAGCAAGAGAGAGCGCAGGTGCGGAGAGCAAGAGACGCAGCAGGAGCAGGTGCAAAGCCAGCGCGGGAGAAGAGCCAGAGCAGGAGCAAGATCACTTAACAGTGACGGTAGAGACAAAATACCCACCAACAATACCCATAAGACGATAAGTAGGTTTAAATTGGTGCTGCGGCAAGTCCTACAGTGCAGGGTAGGTAGTTAAGGCAGCACAGAAATTTTGCAAACTATCCGAGCCGTAGCCAACTCTGATCCTGACCTACAAACACCAGCTACTCAACTAGTAGACTGTACTAACCGCAGATTATGTAGCCTGATTATTTAGGTGACTGGAAGCCTGGGGAAACCTGACACAAAAAAAGCCATGGTAAGCTAAACCCTAAACCTTAAACCCTAAAGAGAGCCATGGGAAGGTAAATCCTAAACCTTAAACCCTAAACCCTAAAGACGGCCATGGGAAGCTAAACCGTAAACTCTTAAACCCTAAACCCTAAAGAGAGCCATGGGAAGCTAAACCCTAAACCCTAAAGAGAGCCATGGGAAGCTAAACCCTAAACTTTTAAACCCTAAACCCTAAAGAGAGCCATGGGAAGCTATAAACCCTAAACCTTAAACCCTAAACCCTAAAGAGAGCCATGGGGAGGCTAAACCCTAACCCTTTAAACCCTAAACCCTAAAGAGAGCCATGGGAAGCTAAACCCTAAACCTTAAACCCTAAACCCTAAAGAGAGCCATGGGAAGCTAAACCCTAAACCCTAAAGAGAGCCATGGGAAGCTAAACCCTAAACCCTAAAGAGAGCCATGGTAAGCTAAACCTTAAACTTTTAAGCCCTAAACCCTAAAGAGAGCCATGGGAAGCTAAACCCTAAACCTTAAACCCTAAACCCTAAAGAGAGCCATGGGGAGGCTAAACCCTAACCCTTTAAACCCTAAACCCTAAAGAGAGCCATGGGAAGCTAAACCCTAAACCTTGAACCCTAAACCCTAAAGAGAGCCATGGAAAGCTAAACCCTAAACCCTAAAGAGAGCCATGGAAAGCTAAACCCTAAACTTTTAAAACCCTAAACCCTAAAGAGAGCCATGGGAAGCTAAACCCTAAACCTTAAACCCTAAACCCTAAAGAGAGCCATGGGAAGCTAAACCCTAAACCCTAAAGAGAGCCACGGGAAGCTAAACCCTAAACTTTTAAACCCTAAACCCTAAAGAGAGCCATGGGAAGCTAAACCCTAAACCTTTAAACCCTAAACCCTAAAGAGAGCCATGGTAAGCTAAACCTTAAACCCTAAAGAGAGCCATGGTAAGCTAAACCTTAAACCCTAAAGAGAGCCATGGTAAGCTAAACCTTAAACCCTAAAGAGAGCCATGGGAAGCTAAACCTTAAACCCTAAAGAGAGCCATGGGAAGCTAAACCTTAAACCCTAAAGAGAGCCATGGGAAGCTAAACCCTAAACTTTTAAACCCCAAAGCCATGGTAGAACCAAGGAGCAGGAGCGAACAAAGCTGCGACCTCGAGCGGCGGAGGATTGGAGCTTACAGTGCGAGGCCCTCCAATGTTGGGGGGCCTTTAAGAGTTTAGAGTTTAGGGTTTAGGGGTTTAGGGTTTAAGGTTTAAGGCCTTTGGGTTTAGGAGTTTAGACAGCTTGGAGACTAGGTAGTTGGGTTTTCGGATTTTGGGGCTTAGGTTTGACAAGTCTTAGGGTATTTGGCTTAGGGTTTGGGGGCTTTCAGGTACAGTTCTTGGGCTTTTGTGCTTCTCTCAGCGCGGCAGAGTGTTGCAGCAGCTGCTTCCAACCATTGAGCCAATGTCCTGGAATTTGAAAAGTAACTTCCGAAACCCGATACCCGACCGCACACTCTATAGGCTCTGCACAGTTCAAAGATCTGCAACACATCATGCCCAGGATCTTCAAGCTGGGAAGGCTGGACTAGAAGCCTACAGCATCCAGCAAAGGTTGTTATACGAAGTCTCCAACAAACGGGAGCGTACTAGCCATGCAATAAGCAAACTAGTAACCCATTCTTTCTTTACCGCCCTTTTAACCATAATCAATATATGTGTTGACGACACTTGTATTTATTCAACTCTTAACACATAAGTCGCAAGAGATAGGAAACTGCAACCCTTTGGATTCCCTATTCCCACCCCTTGGCACATAATTTGCGTGCGCTCCTCGAAGGCTCTAAGGCCCAAGCCGGCGTCGTCCATAGAGGCAGGGATAGGCGGCACCTCCTCAGACATGGAGATATGCCTGTCGAGGCTGGTAGAGGGCTTAAGATCAGGATTTAGGGTTAACGGATTTTTAGGGCAAGTATTAAAGTTCAGGGATTATAAAGTGCTATAGAGGGCATCCGGTGCGGACTTGTAACCCCAAGCCACCGGTTGCTGATGCTGCATGAAACAAAAGCTGAGCCCATCACAAACACGGACTATTTCGTGGACCCCTGAGCGAAGCAAGGCATGAAGCTTCTTAGCATCCGATCAGCGCTCTTGCATGCACTTACCTTTGGTGAGTGTTTAGGGTTTAGGGGTTTAGGGCCTAGGGATGGAATGGAAGAATGGTAGTACTAGGAGTTATAATTGTACCCCATTCCTCCATTCCCTACTAGCCAAAGGTAAGTGCTTGGGCGTTGGAAGGCTTCCGTCGCTGTATTACAGACCACAGTATACATCAGTATACGTTATGAACCCTATACAGATCCTAGACCCGTAAAAAATGGAAGTTACAAGTACTTGAACTTTCGAGGAGACACTGCCTGAAGCTGCGAACGCAGAAAACCCAGCCGGAATGAATCATCAAAAAGCCTCCTCATGCAGACAACACTCGAAGCTTCGGTACCAAATCGCGATCGGTGCAACAGAAACTAAACCATTCTAACTCTTGTGCTATCGTCGCCTGAGAGCGGCCATCACCTGAGGTGCACGAAGTTGCTTTTGAAGTGGGCTGCTTTGGTTTCGGAACTTGGGGTACTTAGGGGTTCACTTTCACTTCGCGCGGCATACGGCTGCACGATGTGAGGATTTCCTGCCGTCGTCGTATCGAAGTATAACGGTAACAACCCGCCCTTCTTTCATGGAGACGAATTAGCGGGACGAGCGCGGGTGCTCAGGGCTTCAGTTCTTGGAAGCCTACAGAGCCTTTGCAAGAATTGATTCAGAAACCATTTGAGGGCTTAGCAGGCGCATGTGTGTGCATATATACATACATGCATGCATGCATACGTATGTGATACATGCAATGTCTGTAATGTATGTACTGGACGTATTGCATTGCATTGTATTGCATTGCATATACGTACGTAACAACATGTACCTCTGTGTGTGCCTGTGTGCATCCACGCATGCGAAAAGTGGTCAATGATGCCTTGCCCAACCAGGATAGACCACCAAGTACAATCCGCAAAGCAAAACATCAATAAAGATATCAAGTGCAGAAAACACTACGCTTTTGAAGCTACAGCACTTGTGGAAGTAGCAAGAACTTGAGTCAGCCGGGAGACGTTTTCAAAGGCGCCATTGCCCCAGGGCTTCTCTGCCGTGGCCATTTCCTTGGGCAGGTGGTTCTGTAGAGGCCGCATAGCCTTTAATAGTGGTGAGGCCTGTCTCTATTAATTGATGTTGATGTCGAGTTTGGTCAAGGGCCCATCTGAAAGGACATGAAATCATCGTCATGAAGCAGGTGGCGCACTCAGTCAGAGTGCTTCATAAGGTAACCTTTTACCCAGCTATAGCTAGCTACCGTCAACCCTCCTTCTGGGGCCCTACACGAGCGGGGCGGTGGACAGTTGAGTCCCAGCTGCCAAGACCACGCAGCCCAGGCTCCATATGTCAGCCTGGCTGCTCTGGCAAGGCTTTACTGGGGAGCTTCGGCAGCAGCATCAACAGCACCAGGCTGCACAAATTCTTGCATTGCATGGCATCGCCCTTCAAATCTAGTTGCTTGAACCGTAACTCTGCAAACTCCTCCGAACACAGGACGCATCATCCCTGCATCAAAAGTTGTCTGTGGGGGTTTAGGTTTAGGGTTTAGCCAGGAAGCAAACAACAAGGCTGACCACGAACATAAACAGATCGCAAACCCCACAAACACCTCTAGAATCCGGAGAAAACAACGACAATTCATAATGTACCCTCACTGTTTCCACAGGACACTGCCTCGAGAAGCACTCAAAAAACCTAAACATACGGTAAGTAATACTCGTGACACCAGCTGCGCCTTTCGGCCATACCCGTCGACCTGAAGAATGCCGCCGTCGAATCGGTTGCTTGGTTTATGACTTAGTGCTTCGGGTTTTTTTGCAGGTTTAGGCTTTATGGGAGCTGTTGGTGGTTGGGGGCTGCCTGGTCTTGTCCTAGCGAGGCTTCGAGCAATAGTAGATCTTTTTACCGTCGCATCACTGGCATCCTGTGTGTCTGAGCCAAACAAACCCACGACCCTAAACCCCATAAACCCCAGAACCTGAGACCCTGAACGCAGCGAAGGAGTCGTAAAGTTTGCGGATTTGGACTACATGGGCCACTGTGCTTTGATAGCCGATAGCCGGCCCAATACCAACTCGAAGACCGCTGCGCTGAAAATCGGGTTTAGGGCCGAAAGCGGCCACTGAAAGCCTCAAAGATGATTCCAAGCCTGAGGAATTACTAGGATACCCAGTAACCTAAGAATCAAAAGGCCTCTCTTTTTGGTATTGGGTAACTTTATTAGGAACCTAGGACTACAAAAAGGGAATAAGGGTACTACTGGGCATCCTAGAGGAAGAGAGCAAACGCCGGATATCCACGCCTGCTGGATAACTTCCGGCGCCATCCACGGAATAGATCCGATCGTCGTGAATGACGTCGTAACCTACGGGGTGCTTCAACTTATATCTCCCAAGGCACAGACATGATATCGCAAGGTCAAGTCGTGAATCAGCACACCCCGTCTGGGTCGAAGGTTGTGCAAAAGCGAGTCTCTCAGTTTCATCTATGAAATGGGCGACATAAAGCGGAACCTTGAATCAACTGCACGGCTCCATACGAAGCACCACGATTTCCTGAGTCACGTGCACTACTGCGCTTCGAACATCCGAAGTCGCTCAGCTTGACGGTGAAGTTCAGCGATACCAGGATGTTCGCCTTAGAAGGAAGCAAGCAGGTTTAGTGATAATGAACCCTCAAATCCACGAAACTCTAAACTCTATAACCCTAACCCCCAAAATGGCCCCAAATCCTCAGAAACTCTATATTAAACCCTATAAACCCCCCCAAGCCCCAACGTGAGGGATCGTCGAACTGAGCTTCGCACACCCTTGATGTCCCGATGCACCACCGGGGGATCCCTGGTGTGCAGATAGTTGAGGCCCTCGGCAACGGGAGAGCACTCAGAACAATGTCAGGGCCTTCATTGATGGATATAGGGTGGGGGGGGGGGGGGGGGGTATAGTGTACTACAATTAGCCGTATTGGGCACACAAAGGAAGGGTACTGCTAATCTGGATGCAGGGTGCTTTTTTGAATGAGAAGAATGCTTAGGATTCAGGGCTCATGGGACCTCAGGTGTAGAGCTTTTGGGATGAGGACTCAGGGTTCATACAGTACTGTATGTCTTGTAGGGCATGAGGTTTGAGCTAGAAGGCTTCGTTACAGGATCGAGGCTCCTGGCATAGGATTCGGGGTCAGCAGCTTCCTTCGACGAAAAGCGACTTGGGCGTGAAGAACCGATGCCTGATATCTCAAACCCGACACGAACCCTTGAACGGCCCTTTCGACTTTGGGGCGTAGTCTTTAGGGAAACCACCAGATCCCTAATTCAGCTGACATGGAGTTCCCAGAGAGAGACCACTGTTGCAAGCAGTTTCGCACATAGCGAGAGGAAGAGACTGCACACATGGCATCTAACAGAATACACTTCTCAGGATCCCGACAACCTAAACTTAGTTGCTGAGTTCATAAGCCCCCCAAAAAGTGTACACTCTTCGTTCTATAGTGGGTAATATTCTCCCCAAAAGTGTAAAGTGTATCCACTCAGCTACTAACTAGGTAAAGCACCGCAGACCTCCACTCCTGAACAACCTGGCCTAAAGGGTCCAAGTACCTGATAATCATAGGCTCTCTCAAATATTAACCTAGATTACTACGATCCGCAATCAAAGCATCTGATTATTGGGTCCTTTGGACCCTTGGGGTGAGGTGATAACCTAACCTGATAAGGATGGTTGTCAAAACTATGGTAGCTTTTGGGGCACCCTAAATAATAGGCGCCGTATTATATTAAGGAACCAAAAACGACCCCTAATTTTGACAACCACCCATAACCTGAACTCCAGAGCAGAAGGGCCTGTAGCACTCCGGCTGTTGAGTTCGTCAGCAAGTTGTTGTTGAGCCTCATGCAGGTCTTGCGGTGAACCAGGTACATCCGTGTGTGTGTGTGTGTGTGCACACACACACACATATATATATATATATACACACATACATATGTGCTATGTGCACACATATATGCACACATATGTACTCATGTGTTCTATATTCGATATAACGATAACGTCTAAATCAGGATCGGCCGGCAACAGGCCAGGGAACATGGAGGAAGTGGCGTTCTCGCACTGAAGCCCACTGCCGTGAAACGCCCAAGGCACATAATTCGACCTAATTCGCCCTTGAGCTCGCTCTTGCCCACGGAGGAAGTGAAACCAAATCCGGGTCATGGGTGGGTTCTAAGACTTACAGGGAACTCCAGAAAGTTGGAATATGGTTTCATGGTAGGATACCCTATAATTTACCATAGAAGGGTTAGGATAATCATATTCCAACTTTCTGGCTTCTACCTTAGCCAAACCGGTACCCCTGTCCGAACCACGGGATGGCGCTTTCAAAGTCTGCGGCTGAAGCCCTGGTGCAGATCTCATAGTATACAGGATCAGTAGCCTACCTGCGCGCCTACCTGTGGCTCCATACCCTACAAAATAGTAGGTTACGACCCCTTAATTAGAGGGTAGAACCCTGAAAATGGTAGGGTTTCGGATCCCAAGGTAAGGACAAGGCACCTAGAAGTTTGTAAACACCCCATGTTCGACCTCTACACTATCAAGCCCGAAACTCATTGTACGTCCACCTCCAACTCAAAACAGTGAAGCACCAGACCCCATGCCCAACTATGAACCCACCCGCCCAGACACAGGCACGAAAGCAACAACCCCTTTATACTCTATACCCTGGCCCTGACCACATCTAATGGCAGGGCTGTTTGGCGGCCGCAGATCCCAGTAAAGATCCAGCAAGCCCTGAGAAATTAAAACTCGGTCGAAGATGGGCCAGTGGATAGCATTTCAGGGTGTAGGGTCTAGGGCTCATAAGGCAGTTCGTAAACATCTATACAACCCCCTTGCCCACACCAAAGTTCTCAACCCTCACAACCTTTAGACCCTAAATCCCAGCTCCGATAATTCTCCCTAAACACTACCTATAGTCTCCATTGTAGTTCCTTCTTTTGGTTTAACCAAATATATAGTCAGGATCCTATAAAGTAACCCCAAAAAGGAACTACAATGGAGACTAGAGGTAGGGTTTAGGGGTTTAGGGTTCTATAGGGGTTCCTTTAAGGGATCTCTATTGGGGTTCCCTTAAGGGATCTCTATAGGGTTCCTTAAAGGAGACTATCGGTAAACCCCCAAAGCCCAAGCCCGGACTCTCGAGAGCCCAGCGCGCCAAACTCATGCAGCACCTTCGCCATCGACCCGCCGGGCCTTCGTGAAAAGAGCGGTTTAGGGTTTAGGGTTTAGGGTTTTGGGCATTTCCGGGTTTGGGGTCTATAAGGAGGGGAAAAGTAGGGCTTGGGATTTTTTTTGAGGGCTTAGGGTTTAAAGTTGGGGGTTTAGGGTAGAATAGGGTTTAGGGTTTGGGGGTTGGGGTAGAATTTAGGGTTTGGGGTTTAGGGGGCTCTGGAAGGTCCGACTGGAGGTCCTAATCAATCTAAGGGCTTGTGCTAAGGCCTTGTAGCGGATTGACATAGGCTGATAGGTTTAAGGGCTCCTTGTGGCTAGGGTTTAAGAGCTCAATAGCTTTCGGGTTTAAGGGGTCCGTAGGTTTAGGGTCAGGGCGATTACGGGCCCAGGGAGTTGAAGGGTTCAGGGCTTACGGCTTTCACAGGCTTCCTTTGGGGGCGTTTAGGGCTTAGAGTTGAGCTTTCACGGGCTTATATAATTGAATCCGAACAGAACAAACCTATATGTCCACTCAAGACATCACCTTTGGATGTTTCAGCCATCCGCTGCTGCCAGGAGGCACATACTCGAGGTAGATGTAGAGGTGGTTGTCGGCCTGGTTGTTGGAGCACATGTCTGGATCCGCGAACCATAAGCCTACTTTATGAACACCCTCTTGTAGAAGCTGGCTGCTAGGATATAGGGGGCCCTAAGCCCTATAAACCCTACTTGGAGGATCATGGGACTTAGCAAGTAGGGTTATAAGGACCTTAATTGGGGTTATAAGAAAATAGAAGTACAGTTACCTTAATTATGACCCTAGTGACCAAGTCCCATGATCCTTTAAGTAAACCCTATAAACCCCTAAAAGGTGTTGAGGATGAAGCTCTGAGCTCTCATCACCCAGCAACCACACAACACCGGAATTGAAAACAAAATCTTGTGCCCTAAATAGCGTCCGGGGGTTTAAGGGTTTCGGGTTTAGGGATTTAGGGCTTAAGGGTTTAGGATTAAGGGTTTAAGGGTTTACGGTGTGGGAACCGAAGCGCCTCAAAATCATAATCGTAATTCCTAGACTAGCAACCCTACATTCCACAATGAAGGTCCTTAAGACCCTTTGGGAACCTAACCCATTCATACGGCCTTTCTTTGAGCCCTCACTTCTAAGTTGCCCACATACTCGAAGCCGAGAGTTTCGACAATGTTGTCGTGCCTGAGATCCTCGCCATCATGCGAACTTCGGGTTCGAGGATTTTAAGCGAAAAAACCTGCTCCATTGGAATGTAGGAACTAATAATTTTGGCTCGGATCTAGATTGTAGATTGGTTCTGAGGCCTTGGCGAGCTTCGTAGTAAATAGTTCCATGCATGGCACCTAATTCAAAAAACTGTGCCCGAAGTAGCCACAAGGCCATGCGGTAGGCACCGTCTTTGGTGGGGATGTCAAGTCCATTCCCGATAGCAACGACCCCCACATGGTTGGTGTCGGCTTTCTGGCAGAATACCTGGCAAGGAAGTGTGCGTCACTCTATCCAAGGGTAAAAGGAGGGACCCTTAAGAATGACTCCGACACGCCACGAACAGGTAGGTTTTGCAAGGTTCACGAAATGTGTAGCCAGACGAAGCCTCTGCGCAAGCTCTGGCGATCGGCACTTGTTTGGACCTAAGATCCTTGACCTTGACAACCCCAATTCAAACCCGTGAAATTTGACGGAATCAGCAGAGCTGCAGTGTTAGAAGAGCTGCCCCAAGATCGTAACACGAAGAGCTTACGCCATGCCTGTTGTTGAGGCCCGTACATGATAATCCACCCTGCAACTTGAACCTCGAAGCAAGGCTGTCCTTGCAGATCGTCAGCTCGGCTTCGAGGCGCTCGCGGTATTTCCTCGGCGCTGCGAAAGCTTTGCCGCAGTCGGGTCAACCCTAAAAATTCCTAAACCCTAAACCGCTTGGGGGTTGGGGTTGGTTCGGCTTTTGGACGGCTTCCGGGGCTGGATGCGGGCATTTTGGGGCTGCTTCTTTTCTGACGGTTCGCCGCTTCACAGCCTTTTTTAGGTTTTGGGCCATGATTTTGCCTTCTTTTGGGGGTCTAGGTAAGCTGCATCGCCCCTAAGCTCGGCCAAACCGCAGGACTCCAAGCACACCTCGGACTCGAAGCAGCATCTGAGGGTCATATAGTTTTACCTTAACCCTGAATAACCTACCTTTTTAAGGTTCCTTATCATGATTGCCTTATAAAAGTCGTCCTTCAGGGTTAAGGTAAGGTATAGGCATCGCTTTCGCGCGTTCTAAAGCCTACAAGCTTGAATGCTGAAGGCATCAAGCATGAAGCCTATCAGCAAAAGTCAAACAAAAAACATCAATAGTTGTAGAGATCTGTATTCAATAGACCGTCAAAGGAACCCTAACCTTAAACCAGCCCTAACCTTAAACTTCTACACCCTAATTCCAGGTGAGTGGTTGTCAAAAGTGTGGTCCCTTTTTGGGTACCCTTAATAATAATTCAATACTAGGTGCCGTATTATAATAGGGACCCAAAAGGGGACAATAATTTTGACAACCACCCTGGTGTTGCCAAGCTTCTGGTCTTCGCCAGCGCCATTCCCATCCTGGAAAGAGAGTGGGCGACCGGTGGATGCATCCATGTCCAAGTTTCGAACACATGGGTTAGGCCTGCGTGTATACAAACCTATATCGTAATCTATATAAGGCTAACTTGGAATGCTCTGAAATCCTTTCTGCGTTTGGTTGCGGTTTGAAGCGCAGCAATAGTAGCGACCGCACTCAGAGACATGAGTCTCGCAGAAAACCGTCCCAAACCTGTCTAAGAACCCTTTTCGGGCTTAGGGTTTAACACTCTGCAGGGCTCTATAAGGGTTTAAATAGGGCTGCAAATTTCATGGGACTTAAGGAATGCTGATTCCATGATGCCAAGACGCATCGAGAATTCCTTGCTTGACGGCAAAGATCTTGCCAGTCGTCTTGTCGAGAGCCTGCAGTTGTGGTGGAAACCTTCAAGGAAACCCCTAAGAAAACCGTAAAGGAACCCTGGAAGAACCTTAAGGGTACCGTTTTAAGAACCTAAAACCACAAACCCTAGCACACCGAAAACCCTCAAACTCTCGACCTTCCATGCCCGAGTCTTCGAAAGTTTAAACCTCAAGGAATACACAGAAAGAGCAAAGGTTTCGGGTTGAGAAGGTCTAGGGCTTCAGTTTTGTGCTTCGGGGCTTGAGAGCAATGGTTAAGAACTGCTGAAGAAGTCTAAGCCCAACCTTCCTTCCTACAAAAGCCCGAAGCCTAGAAGCCCAGTTCGCATACTAATGGGTGGGACCCCCCCCAAAATAGTATCGGTATTACTAAGGCCCGTACAGTAGGTAGCTAAGCTTCTTATTGAATCCTAAAACCATCGCCGTGGCACTAACTGCGCCTTAAACACGCACCCGTGTGAGCCAGTGCCGATGGTGCTTCCTTTCACCCAGGCGAAGCCTGCCAAAGGTGCTTTGAGGGTTCTTCAAGCACCCTCGCAACCCATAAGCTGCTTAGAAAGTCACTGCACTATGGGCACTGTGAGTGTGAGGGTCGGGTGCAATGACCTAGCTACTCCAACATTTGTATGACAAATGCAGTGTGTACTGCTAACCAATGGTTTTGGGGTTCCCTTGGCTCTTTAGCTGCTTATTAAGTAGGGATTATCATCACCCCTGGCTCCTTAGCTCCTCCAATATCAATGGTAAGACTACCTACGTGTATATTGCCAGCTGGGCTTCTCGTCGGCTGCCAGTCTGGACTGGAAGCCGTAGAAGTTAGGGAAGGACGTAGGGTTATATGGGAGTTTCCAAAAATAGGGGACCCTAATATAGTACCCTAAATAGTAGGATCCTTATTATAAGGACCCCAAAATAAGGTACCCCTAATTTTCGGAAACTCCCATATGGGCTCGAACACCACGATCGACGTCTTTTGGAACTTCGCTTCGTTATCGCAGCTCAGCGTGGAAGGAGGTTTGTGCAAGGTTTTCTAGGGCGTGGGGTTAATGGTGTGGAGCTCATACTTCTCGCACAGGCTGCATACCTATAGTCTCCATTGTAGTTCCTTTTTTTGGTTTATCCCAATATTTAATTAGGATCCTATAAAAAAAGTAACCCCAAGAAAGGAACTACAATGGAGACTATAGGTAGATGTTGATGCCCGGGGGGCTCTCGGCGATTTTGGGGAAGACAAGCGTACCCTAAGGCCCCAAAGTAGTTCCTTTTTGGGGTGCGTATATAGAATCCAACAAGGTAACCCCAAAAAGGAACTACTTCGGGGCCTATGGGTAGTGTGCAGATCGCATGGTTGAAGATTCGAGCCTTGAGGCTTGAGCTGCCCCTCGCGATCGCCAGTGTTCGTGCTAATGAAGGACCCTAGTCAGGTATATCATCCTAGGTCCAAAGTCCTCTCTCTCTAGTACTTCGGGGTATTCAAGAGTAGCTTATTGCAATGTACGGAAGCTTTTTTCTGCGGTCTTGAAGCGCTGGCAGCTTCGGCGTGCTCCTAATGCTAAAACCTTCACAACCCCAAGCCTCACGCCTACGCCTAAAACCCCAAACTTGTGGCGCCCGGCATCTGGATGCTGTGCGGTCCAAGTTTCGGAAATACTATATCCTACACCCCACACAGGCACAGGCACAGGCACAGCCCACCCCAGAACAAGGCTTACAGACCCGACAGATCTTCACGCAAGATACATTCAACAACATCGCCCTAACCTAAAAAAATCGCAACTCCAATTTCTAAACAAGCAAAGCATCCTGAAACAAACCTCTCATCTGACCAGGAACCCTAAACGATGAGTTTACAGACTACAAAACTCCCTATAAACCTCGGAGTTCCGGAACCTAAACCCTAAACCCTAAATTTTAGACGCTTACTAAACTCTAAATCCTAAACCCAAGACCCTAAATCTTAAAACACCCGAAGGTTTTGGCTTCTGACCTTCGGCGAAGCCCCAAGAAGTCTCCGGTGACGGCGGTGCTGAAGACTTTGGGGATACCTGACGTGCTTGAGCGGTTCTTGTACAGTAGAGGTTTAGGGTTCAGGGTTTAGGTTCTTAGGGTAGTAAACCCCATAAAAATTCGAAACCGGATTAAGGCCAAATGGTGCTGGGATTCCCTAAACATTACTCTTGAGGACTGGGGCTACTGGGTTTCCAACTTTCCGGCTTCGACTAGAGGGCTTTTCTCAGTGTTCTATCGGGCGTTTTACAAATTGCAAGGGTTCTACATGGTTTGGTAAGGTAGTAGCCAAGATTAGTTTAAGGCTTGGGTGTGAGCTGCTGTGTCAGTGACCTCTGAGCAATATTGAGCAATGCTGTAGGTTTCTGGAGAACTTGTCCGGTATGATTTGCCTGAAACCTCACAATAAAGGAAACTCCAGAAAGTTGGAATATGGATTAATGGTAGGATCCCCTATAGTTTACCTTAAAGGGGTTACGATAATGATATTCCAACTTTCTGGCTTCTACCTTAACCCTAAAAGGCGTACAAATACAGAAGCCCCTTCGGCCTTCAGTTCGTATCATGACCCCAGAGGCCCTGAGCGGCTCAAGTTTCGGACGTTTGAAACGGACATATTAGGGTGGTTGTGAAAATTATGGTCCCTTTTTGGGCATCCTAAATAGTAGGTGCCGTATTAAAATAAGGATCCAAAATGGGACCCTAATATTGATCACCACCCACATGATAGCCGTTCAAACCGCATGTCCGACTGAAAACCCGCTGACAGCCCTCGAAAATTGCTGCGGGGATAAGGATGAGGATGTCCCAACACCGCGAAAGATTTCGCTCCGTACTGAAAAGGTTTTACGGGTACATCATAGTGTAGCTTTGGAACGGGATGATGCTAGATGATTCCACATTCTTCTATTATACTCAGTTGCTGGCCGGCTAAAACTCAGAGATTCCTAGCCACTAAGCTCGTCCAATGTAGAGTGGGTGATCTCTTCTTGAGATCAGACATGGCGATGAAAGCCCCGATATCCATGAGGCTCGAGTATGCAGTATGCACAGGAAACGGTTTGACTCAGCACGGTGGACGAAACTAAAGTTTACTAAAGGCCCGAATCATCCCCTGACGCATGTTAAATTTAACCTTAGGAACCAACAGAGGAACTGCCTGCTCCTCCCCCCAAAACCCCCAAATCCTCCTAACTCCTCACCCTAAACCCACTAAGCCGTCAAGACCCCAAACACTGCCCAAACCCTAAAACCCTGCAAGCCCTCAAACATTACCCCGAAACCAGCAAACCCTAAACGCTATGAGCCCTGCAACCCCACAAACTCCCAACACCTACTGTAGCCCTTAACCTCAAAACCCTCTGCCAAATCCTGAAACTCTTCCGAGGTGCATGTGAGATGTGGCTAGGAGTCGAGGCTTCCTCAGCACGTGCAGTTGGCTGAGGGTTTACGAGCTGCCTTCGTGTGCGAGGCACGAGAGGTAGGAGGCCTGTCTTGGTCAAGAAACCAGCACACATTAGAGAAAAAAGGAAGTATTTTTACTTTTATATAAATGATAAGATTCTACTGCAATATACCCCCCCCCCCCCCCCAACTTTGAACCCCGAAGCCCTATTGAGATCCTAAATCGAAACCACCCAAAACCCCAAGCTCAAATCAATGGACTTGGCTTCCCAAATCTAGGCAAGGAAACTTGCTTAAACATCGAGAACCAGTCTCCGGAAGAGCGTTAGGCCCGTCTTGTTAGCAAGGAAAGTAATGGAATCATGTAGGGACGCCCAAACAAGGTAACCCGCGCCTCGGGTTTCAGGAGCAATAACCTGCCCCGTAGTGCTTTCAATGCTACACCCAAATTCAAACCTTAAGCACTTTTTTTCAGCTCTGTACAACTGCAAACCCCTCAAACCGGCCACCGTGAACCCTAAACGCTTAACCCCAAATCCCCAGAATCCTTATAGAACCCTCCCCACCTTAACCTCCCCAAACTCCTGCTTGTAGGGGCCCTACAACAAGAAATTAGGAAAACCTAAATTTTGGTACGGAATTACTTTATAAAGTACATTTCTGAACCCTAAACCTAGAACCCTAAACCCAAAACCCTACAACCTAAACTCTGAACCCCAAACCTAATCTTGGCAAAGTCGGGCGTCCGTTGGCAGGCTGCAGTTCCACGTCTTGTGCCTGGGGGTTGGCTTGCAGAACTACCCAGACCTTCCAAAATCCCTTAATTAAGGAGTATACCTTAAATTATAATAGGGTCCCTAATATGATTTAAGGTATATTCCTTAATTAAGGGATTTTGGAAGGTCTGGGTATTTGGGAGTTTCTGAAAACAGGGGATCCTAATATGATACCCGAAATAGCAGGATCCTTATCAAAAGGATCCCAACATGAGGTAGCCCTAGTCTTCGGAAACTCCCATTTAGGTTTCGGGCTTTGGGTTTAGGGGTTCAGGGTCTGGGGTTTGTGCATTTGTGGTTTTGGTTTTGGCGGCACGCGCGTGTTTGACATCTTGATTCGCGGATCGTGCGTTGGTGGCTTTGTCGCGTCATGGTTTTCGGGTTTGTTGGAGCTGTCTTCTTAAGGGAATAGGGCTAGGCCAGGCTGTGAGGTTGAAGGTCTCGAGATTACACGGTGCAAAGTAAACGTCTTAGAGGGGTAAGGATAGAGTCGGGTAGAGAGTGAGACGGTATCAAGGACCTCCTAACACCGAACCTGATGGGAGTGTGCTAGTGCCCCACTCGAGGCGATGGACTTTTTCGGGCAGCTTTCGAGTGCCGCTCCCTCCCTACCAGGACCCTCCTTGTACCCTCGAATAGGGGTATATGGTCCCCAAATAAGGGGCACTTAGGGTCTAATAGAAGGCAGATGGAGGCTCTAGGTCCCTACTCTTTGTATCTTCAACCTCTCAAAACCACTCACAGATCCCAAACAGGAGAAGCCCCAAACCTTGAAAATAAGACCTAGAAGAAAGCCCGGGTAGGGGCCTTCGCTTCTAGAATAGGGCTTGTCATCATAAGGGCCCAGAGCCTCCAAAACCCCTTAATTAAGGAATAAACCTTGTTCTACTTATTGATTAAGGCCCTTACACTAGCTTGCCAAACCGTCGAAGCCCAGTCGCTTCCGCGGCTTGCGCGAGTGCCGCGACAGGCCACTGTCTTCGCCCAAGAAAAGGACCTGAAGCTTAATACAGTTTAGGGTTTACGATTTAAGATTTATAGGGTCTCGGTCTAGCTCCTGAGGCGTTTGGGTGACGGGCTGAGACTATCTAGCTTCAACTCGGATGCGCAGCGTCTTGTGTGGATGCGTTTGATCTTGTTTTGCGGATGAGATGAGCCTCCTGTCTGTAGTTAGGGTCACCCTAAACCCTCAACGATAAACCCTATAAACGGACCCCAAACGTCAAACCCCCAAACCACCTAAACCCCAAACCCTGAACCCTAAACCCCTAAACCCCTAAACCCTCAACCCCAATCTTGGGTTCTAGGCTTGAGCATCCCCGCCCAGGACCAAGCCTTCCAAATCAGCCAAAACGGCAGGCACGAAAGAAAACCAAGCCTCAAGGCTGGGGCCCAAGGAAGAGAGCAACCAGTGATTAGCCCGATACAAAACCCGAAAAGCAGCACATCAAAATACATTTTATAGTAGTATACTATAAAATAGGATTTGCAGTATGGTATATTGTATGAATGAACTGAGTCGACTGCGTTTTTCTCACGCACTGTCTGCGACTTCGTTGTCTCGCTGTGCTTCGCCTGATGGGCATGCGACGAGCTGCGGCAGTTGGGAAACCAACACGTGCTTGCAACAATAAACCCTAACCTCAGGTTAATGGCTGACCGCTAACCCTCAACCCTAATTACTCGCTACCCATGGGCCCCAAAGTAGATCCTTTTTGGGGTCCATATATAGAATTCTAAACGGTATTCCCAAGAAGGAACCACCATGGGGCCCATGGGTAAGTTGTAGTTTCAAGCTTGCAGAAGGAGTTGCCTTCCGCCCGACTGCTCTTCAAAGTGCGGGCCAATGGTCTAGGAAAAGGATGCAGTGCACGTTCACATGCCCAAGAGGGGAACGGCGTGGGAGTTGAGTTAGGATTGAGGATTTTGGGCTTAGGGGCAGGGTGGCAGTGCAAGAGAAAGTGATTCAGAAACCTTCAGCTAGCATCCGGCAAATCGTAGGACCCGAGTGCCAGAGTGCCCAAAAGCATGCAAACTGTCTCTCGAGGTCACAAACTATATAGCCACATTAACTGCGACAAACCCGGAAACGGAGAGCAAGCATGTCCACCATTGTCCTCTTTTCGGAACCTTCCTGATCAAGCCTGTTGACCTGAAAAGTGCGGTGAAGACCGAAGCCTGAATCTTGAGAAGGCATCTCAAACGGGAAAAGGGGGGACCCTTAATGGGGACCCCTACCCTATAATGGGCAATATCATGGGCATATAATGGCTATATTAAGGGTATATACCTAGGGGTCCTTATTAAGGGTCCCTCCTTCTACCCTTGGAGTATCAAGCCTCCCATCTTAAACCCTGAATGCTTGTCAAGCTCCTGGGACATCAGTGTTCGCATCTTCTCAGCCATTATCATATGCCACCCTCTGTACTTGTGCGTAAGTCAACATGTAAACCAAAACAGACAAGTTATACGCACCAACAATTTGCATACACACATAGTTTCTTGTAAACACACAGAGTCACACGCACAGGAACAAACAAACAGACACGTGCGCTCGACATGGATGCAAGATTTCCGTACACATACGTGTGTACACAGATAGTTGTATGTATACACGCATACAGCCGCATACACATACCTTTATGTGTGTGTATGCATATGTATATATACATATATGTCTATGTATACACAAACTATAGTTGCTGCTTGTGTGTTGCGATCCTGGGGGCCCCGGCCGTGCGATCGCCTGAGCGTCGCGAGAGCCGATCAAGCTTGCGCTCGGAGAAACCGAACGGCGTTCCTGCTTAGGGTGTAGCAGATAAATATCTAGGGTGTAGGGTTTAGCGTCTGCACATTGGGCTGAGGGGTTCAGGTCTTATTGGGGCCTCTTAGGGTCTAGATTCGGATGGTCTAGGCGAAGCCCACGCCACCCAACGGTGCAGAGTTCAGGACCTCCCGACACGCACAGAGGCACAAATCACAAGACACCCTAATCATCCACTTGCATTGCAACCTCTGGTACTGGCCTACCTAAGCAGGAAGAAATTCGTGCCCTATAGCAGTCGGGACGAAATGCAGACATCTAGTCCCAGCAGCCAACCGAAACTATGTTAGGCACTCTAGCGCAGGTACAGTCCTCCAGCACAAGACACCAAGATATTAAACCCAAGCACCAGCGCCCTGAACCTCAAATCGGCTGCATAAAAAAAAAAACGAGTTCCGAAGCGCTCTTTGGTACCGTGTGAATAAATGGCATAGCGGTTGCAAAGCAATGTGCGGCTGTGTCTGCTTGAGGGCAAGCACTACCGTCATTGTGACTATGACTATGGAACTCTTAATGACTACCCAGAGGCCCCAAAGTAGTTCCTTTTGGGGATTACCCTATAGGATTCTATATACGAACCCCAAAAGGGAAGTATTGTTCTTCTCTAGCGTGTTGCTTTCAAGACCGTCCCTGCAATGACAAAGCTGCGAAGGTCCTCGGCGGTCAATTGGACACCCGAAGCCCAATGCAAATACCTATCTGGCCGCCTACCTACCCCACAGTAAACCGGAACCCCTACCAGGACCCTCCTTGTACCCTCAAATAGGGGTATATGTTCCCAAATAAGGGGCATTTAGGGTCTAATAGAGGGTAGATGGAGGGTCTAGGTACCGGCCCTACCGAACCCTCAAACCCTAATTTCTTTCATGCTCGCAGCCTCATTGAGGGACCTTCGTCCTCGCAACCCTGATCCCCAAACCATGGATCGCAACAGATGACCCTTAAGCCGACACCCTAAACCCAATTAAATACCTACTGCGAAAGGAAAGCACAAACTCGAAGACTGATCCGAAACCTCGAAGCTCTTGCAAGTCGAGACCTCTTACCCACCCCCAAACACGTAGTCAAACGCAAGCAACACACAAGGACCACCCACAACCCTAAACCCTAAACCCCAAAAACCCGAAACTTTCAAACCCCCAAACCGCCTAAACCCTAAACCCGAAACTTCAAAACCCCCCAAACCACCTGAACCCCAAATCCTAAACCCTACACCTCGATTCCCTCTAAGCCGACGAACACGAAGCTCCCGAGCCTGGCCCGTCTCTTGAGGTCGGTGCACTAAAGCCAACCTCTTTTCAACACGCTCAGGTTCATGCTTTAGGGTTAGGGGTTGTGTTTTTCGGGTTTAAGGGCTTTGCTTTTGGGGTTTAGGGGTTAGGGTTGTGTTTTTCGGGTTTAGGGCTTTGTTTTTGGTGTTTAGGGTTTAGGGTTGTGTTTTTCGGGTTTAGGGCTTTGTTTTCGGGTTTGGGGTTTAGGGTTGTGCTTTTTCGGGTTTAGGGTTTTGCTTTTGGGGTTTAGGGCTTGGGATCTGGGAGATAGGGGCCGTAATACTTAGAATACTTCAAGGATTGAGAGGCTTCCTTTACGCGTTGAGGGTTTAGGGTGTAATGTCGGGCCTTACTGCTTAGAATACTGTTCCTCCAAAGGGTTTCTTAAGGGTTACTGTTACAAAATGGGTTTGGAACGGTTTTGGTACCTATTCTAGCCCTTACAATATGCTTTAGCTGGCCGGGCTTTAGGGTTTAGGGCTGTAGGGCTTCAAGCGACTCTGCCTTCCCGTAGGCCTCAAAGCGCACATACTCGTCGACGAATGCCTTCGCCTTGGCCGCTAGAGCGTCACGCGGCTCCTGCACTGCGAGAGCTCCCTCTGGCTTTTGAGACGATTGGCCGCCAAGTCGAAGCCCATGGCTTCCTGCAGTCGATGGAGGGTTTTGTCGCGGAGCTCTAGCGACTTGCCCTGACGGAGGGCCTTGTCCATCACGTGTGTCTCCACTATTTCCACCCACGCCGCAAGCTTCATCTGTCCAAGGTCGTGCTTCTGATGATAGGAGCCGATATTGACGAACTGCTGCAGCAAGTGCGGGGAGACCTCTTGTTTGTGCAGCTCCTTCACACCGTAGTGCCAGAGTCGCGCCTTTTCCAGCGCCACCCGCATCCAATCGATCGGACATTTCGAGCAAGGTGACGACTGGCCCTGGCTTGCTTTGTAATTTTGTTGTTCTCATTTTATTTTACAATTCGATTTAAAACTACAAATATTTTTTTAACTCACTCGTTTGAGACCCGAGTCCTCACAGGTGCTTCGAGTTCAGAGCTGTAGGGTTTGGGGAACCCCCCGGTGGTTTCGGGGTAGGGTTTCGGATCTAGGCTCTAGGATTTGGGACGGTTTCAGGGTTTAGGGCATCCGCTTGGGATGGCGGCTTGTGGGGGTTTCGGCTTGAGTTCCCAGACATTCGGGAGGATCTCGAAAGTAGATCCCCTAATTGGGGGCCCTATGCTACTAAGGGTACTTTATAGGAACCCGCATTACGGGATCTACTTTTTGGATCCTCCCGGGGGTCTGGGTGTAGGCTTTGGGAAACAGAGTCTGGTGTTAAAGCTCAGCGCGATTCGACTCGAACTTCAATTCCACGCGATGGAAGGCCCTAAACCGAATCCACTAATATAGGGGCCTTTATAATTAGAATAGGGTTTTGGGGCCCATTATGCTGAAATTTTCATAAGGAACCCTTCAAAGACGATTGCAAATTTAGGCCCCTATATTAGGTGCCCTCAGATGTAAGCGCCAGAACTCCTAGAAAGGGTTTGGCTGATGCAGGGTTTGTGGGTGTGGGAGGAGTAAGGGTCTGGGGCCTTATGTTTCAGGATACAGGGGCCGAAGTGGTGATCATCGTAACTGTCGTAACGCCGTAGTGATAACTAATTGTAGCAGCCCTACATGACATTTCATAGTAGTAATAGTTAAGAAGAACAAAAGGTATACTGATTTAGTAATGACTCCACATCTAATACCTGTAGGGCTGAGCCTTTAAACGCTCGAGGACTGGGCCGGCGCTTCCGAGGATTTGGGGGGGGCTTAGAGTCTACGATGGTTTATGCGTACAGGCACGAAGGGCTCACGAGAGTTCCGCGTTTCCCAAACCGGGCTTGCGCTTTTCGAGCTACGTTTCAGATGTATTTGGTGCAATCGAGGACAGGAGCTCACGGCTAGAACGCTTGGGAACGGAGGCGCTAGGTCATGACCACTCTCAGGACGACTGCTCTCAGAAAGAGTGCTGCAGTGGATGCTGGTTGTCCATTCAACATGCCAAGCTGTCCCAGAGGTAGGTCAAGCTGCAACAGATGGGACTTCTACAGAAGGCAGCCGCATACCACGAAAGTAATTCACGCCCTTAGCTTCCATCCAACAGCTCAAGCCATCGCAGCCCCAAGCCCTCAAACCCTCAGCAACAGAACCCCAAACTTCCCATAAAGGTTCTATCAGACCTTAGTGTTGCGGTATTCAACAGAAGTTGCAAAAAAAACTTAGGGCTTCCCATAACCGCCGAACTCCTGCTCACTAGCCCGAAGCTCTAGACACACCTGAGCCCTCAAAACCCTAAACCCTAAACCCCTAAAGCCCTAAACCCCCAAACCCCTAAACCCCCAAACCCTAAGCCCCCAACCCCCTAAACCCCTAAACCCCTAAACCCCCAAACCCCTAAACCCTAAGCCCCCAACTCCCTAAACCCTAAAATCCATGAACCTTTACCTGGTGAGACTCTGGAAGTCTCAAGGGCACAGACCATGGTCTGAACCCTTACCTCGAGTTACCAACCAGGACCCTCCTTGTACCCTCAAATAGGGGTATATGGTCCCAAATAAGGGGCATTTAGGGTCTAATAGAGGGTAGATAGAGGGTCTAGGAAGGTAGCTGAGAAAGGTAGATGTAGCATCGTTTCTAGGGCCTCATCTCCGTTTTTAAAAGTGTATTGGTTACTCTACCCAGAGGCCCCAAAGTAGTTCCTTTTTGGGATTACCGTATAGAACTCTATATACGAACCCCCAAAAAGGAACTACTTTGGGGCCTATGGGCACACACATTTTGATCCCCACGATGCTCGTCGGACCCTGCCTTCTTCTGGGGCGTCGGGGTGATAGTTGGCGTTTTATCTTCCCCAACCTCCTCCGAGGTCGACGAGCTTCGCTTCAGGTCTGGTATGACTCTATAAACTGATGTGGGAGTTTCCGATAATTAGGGGTACCTTATTTTGGGCTTCTTATCATAAGGATCCTACTATTTAGGGTACTATATTTGGGTCCCCGATTTTCGGAAACTCCCATGTGTCAAAAGCGACTATGGGGTTGCAAGAAAGGTCTTGGATGAGTCAGGAGTGGCTCTGCTCTGCACCATTCTCGGATCCTTAAGGGAGGGTGGTTCAAGGGGGGAGGGTATAAGGAATCCTTAGGGGACTGTAAGGGAACCTTAGGGAGTACCTTAAGGATACTACAACATCATGCCGGCAGAAAGAAACAGCGCTGCGGAAACACCCTGCAATCCTAATCCGAGAGTCTCACGGCATGGTTTCCCATAAGCCAAAAGCTCTGAGTACACTGAAACCGATCACCTTGAGACCTTGAGCCCGAAACTTCCAGGCACTGGGATGAAGCCAAAGCTGAAATCTGAGAGTCGTTTACTTTCGCTAGCTTCGGGTAACCGCGTATTTGGGTATTTGAAGTCTTACATCAGCCTTAACCGCAGTCGAGACCTTACACACACACACGTACATGTATGTATATATATATATATATATATATATATATATATATATGTATAGTATATACATGTGCGAGCACAAGCCGCCGTTACATATATATATATATATATATGCATGTGTACATATATATGCATGCATATTTACATACATGCACATCCGCAAAATTCGGTTCGGACCGGGGGTTCTTCATTTCCCCAGTCCTCTTCTAGTTCATCTCGTCTGAAACCACGTTGTACTAGGTTTAGGGTGTGGGCTTAAGCTGCCAAATGGCAAAGAGTGCTGAGGAAACCCTAAACCCGAACTTCTACACCCCAAAGTTCTTCAACCCTAAAGCACCCTCTCAGTTTGAGTCGCGTCCTCCGCATACCCATCTCGCCTCCACAAGGCATCTCTTGGAGCTTCATGTCCAGTCACGGGGCCCAGAGAAGCAGACTTTGGTTTGGGATGGTTTTGCAGGGCGCTGGCGAGGGGATAAGGGTTTAGGGTTTCTGTGCAAAACAGAAACACATCGGGATTGGCCGGCAACAACGACCAGGATGCTTCAAACGATCGTGATTTTCCATGTCTAGGCCTAGGCTGATGGCTTCAGGGATCATACCGGATTGCCACAAGTGCACGTTTTGTTAGCTTGGCGATATCAATGAGGGAACCGAGCGGGTTTGACAGAATTTGGGACTTCTGGCTCATGACCCAGGTGACACTTCCGGCCTCTGCAGGCTCGTCCTTTGCATGCTTACAAACCCTATAAACCCTAAACCTTCTGATCATTCAATCCGGCTGGGAAGCCGTAAACAAGTAAATCCTACACTGTAAATGGGAGTTTCCGAATTAGGGGGACCCTAATATAGCACCTTACGTAGTAGGATCCTTATTATAAGGACCCCAAAATAAGGTAACCCTAATTTTCGGAAACTCCCAAATTTCACACACTGAAACCTAGACCCTCAACCCAGAACCCTGGATCAGAAGTATCTGTCCTCAGGCTTCTGAGGTTCATGCCGAATGTGACTTCTTTGTTTCTTTGCGGTGCGATACTCAAACTAAAGCCCTAAACCCGCAACACCCTGAAGAAAAGAGCCAGGAGCAAACCTCCAACGCCAAAGCCTCAAGCCCTAAACCCCTACCCAGAGGCCCCAAAGTAGTTCCTTTTGGGGATTACCCTATAGGATTCTATATACGAACCCCAAAAAGGAACCACTTTGGGGCCTTTGGGTAAAGCTTGAGTCCTGATCTCCTGGTTAACCCTACCCCTAAGGCTCAAAATAGCCCAAAAGCCTTATATAGTATGGTCTTTGGGCCCAAAAGCCTCAAAATATGAGTCCGTAGAGCCTAAGGGTACAAACCGAGACACCTGGAGAAGAGAAGCGTGGGGAGGCGCAGGTTCTCTTTTCGCAGCTCCTCGGCTGTTAAATAGACATACAGTAGAAGCCAGAAAGTTGGAACATCAGTAGCCTCATGCCCTTAAAGCAAAGTATAGGGAATCCCAGCATGAATCATCCTAAATCCATGTTCCAACTTTCTGGGGTCCACTATATAATTATACAGGCCCTAGGATGCCATAGGCCCTACGTCTACTCGTTAGGCCCGGTCTTCAGCGTTTTCCGGCGAAAGACGAACCAAAGGTTGTATATCAGATTCGAAAGCAACATTGAAATGCATGGATTTTAAGAGTTTCCAATCCTAGATGGAGGGATTTCGATGCGTGGCGTTACGGCTTCCGGGCTTTTCAGTTTCAGGGGTCTAGATTCTGGAGATCGACATCTTCGGGAGCTACCGCAGGCTCTCCCGCCAGTTGCAGATCGGCTTTTGGCTGCAAACCCTGCATTTGGAACCCTCTGTGCGTGCAGCTCTACCGACACATATGTTGTCCTTTGAGCCTTTTATGGATGCTGGGCCATTCTTTTGCCTACTTTTGGGGGTTTTAGCCATATAGTTTAAGCCCCTGAAAAACTACGTACTTCAGGACACACAGAGGAAACAATCATGCAAAGCCCTCAATAATCTGGGTTGCGTAGGGTTCAGGCATACCCTATGGCTCCGAATGCTGAGAAGAATCTGAACCCCACCTCCATTGCAAACGATGGCAAACCACTAAACCAAACCTCCAGGCCTGATACGTAAGAGTAAAACTTAACACCCAAGGCACCAAAACTCTGAAACACCGAATCCCAAGCCGCAAATCCTTGAAGCAACCGGGAAGCCACTGGCAAACAAAGAACAACACTATAACCCTCCCTGCTCTCTATGCAAACCCTGAAGCCGCCCCCTCGGGAAGACCAGGCGCTCGATGTTCAGAGAAAGGCGACTTGCCACCATCTAAACCTGAGCTTTCAGGGCTTGGAGATTGAAGAGCGTTGAGCTTTTCCGGTCATGGGACTTGGCGGCTTAGAAGATGTAC